GCAGCATTACGTCTGATCACTGTTACACTGAGATCACCCACAGTCACGGCATTACATCTGATCACTGTTACACTGAGATCACCCACAGTCACGGCATTACATCTGATTACTGTTACACTGAGATCACCCACAGTCATGGCATTACATCTGATCACTGTTACACTGAGATCACCCACACTCACGGCATTACATCTGATCACTGTTACACTGAGATCACCCACAGTCACGGCATTACATCTGATCACTGTTACACTGAGGGTGTCACCCACAGTCACAGCATTACATCTGATTACTGTTACACTGAGATCACCCACAGTCACGGCATTACATCTGATCACTGTTACACTGAGATCACCCACAGTCACAGCATTACATCTGATCACTGTTACACTGAGGGTGTCACCCACACTCACGGCATTGCATCTGATCACTGTTACACTGAGATCACCCACAGTCACATCATTACATCTGATCACTGTTACACTGAGATCACCCACACTCACGGCATTACATCTGATCACTGTTACACTGAGGGTGTCACCCACAGTCACGGCATTACATCTGATCACTGTTACACTGAGATCACCCACAGTCACGGCATTACATCTGATCACTGTTACACTGAGATCACCCACAGTCACGGCATTACATCTGATTACTGTTACGCTGAGGAGATCACCCACAGTCACAACATTATGTCTGATTACTGTTACACTGAGATCACCCACAGTCACATCATTACATCTGATCACTGTTACACTGAGACTATCACCCACGGTCACATCATTACATCTGATCACTGTTACACTGAGGGTGTCACCCACAGTCACTGCATTACATCTGATCACTGTTACACTGAGGGTATCACCCACAGTCCCAGCATTACGTCTGATCACTGTTACACTGAGATCAACCACAGTCCCAGCATTACGTCTGATCACTGTTACACTGAGATCACCCACAGTCACGGCATTACATCTGATCACTGTTACACTGAGGGTGTCACCCACAGTCACGGCATTACATCTGATCACTGTTACACTGAGATCACCCACAGTCACAGCATTACATCTGATCACTGTTACACTGAGATCACCCACAGTCACAGCATTACATCTGATTACTGTTACACTGAGGAGATCACCCACAGTCACAACATTATGTCTGATTACTGTTACACTGAGATCACCCACAGTCACATCATTACATCTGATCACTGTTACACTGAGACTATCACCCACGGTCACATCATTACATCTGATCACTGTTACACTGAGACTATCACCCACGGTCACATCATTACATCTGATCACTGTTACACTGAGGGTGTCACCCACAGTCACTGCATTACATCTGATCACTGTTACACTGAGGGTATCACCCACAGTCACAGCATTACGTCTGATCACTGTTACACTGAGATCACCCACAGTCACAGCATTACGTCTGATCACTGTTACACTGAGATCACCCACAGTCACGGCATTACATCTGATCACTGTTACACTGAGATCACCCACAGTCACAGCATTACATCTGATCACTGTTACACTGAGATCACCCACAGTCACGGCATTACATCTGATCACTGTTACACTGAGATCACCCACAGTCACAGCATTACGTCTGATCACTGTTACACTGAGATCACCCACAGTCACGGCATTACATCTGATTACTGTTACACTGAGATCACCCACAGTCACAGCATTACATCTGATCACTGTTACACTGAGATCACCCACAGTCACGGCATTACATCTGATTACTGTTACACTGAGATCACCCACAGTCACGGCATTACATCTGATCACTGTTACACTGAGATCACCCACAGTCACAGCATTACATCTGATCACTGTTACACTGAGATCACCCACAGTCACGGCATTACATCTGATTACTGTTACACTGAGATCACCCACAGTCACGGCATTACATCTGATTACTGTTACACTGAGGAGATCACCCACAGTCACAACATTATGTCTGATTACTGTTACACTGAGATCACCCACAGTCACATCATTACATCTGATCACTGTTACACTGAGACTATCACCCACGGTCACATCATTACATCTGATCACTGTTACACTGAGGGTATCACCCACAGTCACAGCATTACGTCTGATCACTGTTACACTGAGATCACCCACGGTCCCAGCATTACGTCTGATCACTGTTACACTGAGATCACCCACAGTCACGGCATTACATCTGATCACTGTTACACTGAGGGTGTCACCCACAGTCACGGCATTACATCTGATCACTGTTACACTGAGATCACCCACAGTCACAGCATTACATCTGATCACTGTTACACTGAGATCACCCACAGTCACAGCATTACATCTGATTACTGTTACACTGAGGAGATCACCCACAGTCACAACATTATGTCTGATTACTGTTACACTGAGATCACCCACAGTCACATCATTACATCTGATCACTGTTACACTGAGACTATCACCCACGGTCACATCATTACATCTGATCACTGTTACACTGAGGGTGTCAGCCACAGTCACTGCATTATGTCTGATTACTGTTACACTGAGGGTGTCACCCACAGTCACTGCATTACATCTGATCACTGTTACACTGAGGGTATCACCCACAGTCACAGCATTACGTCTGATCACTGTTACACTGAGATCACCCACAGTCCCAGCATTACGTCTGATCACTGTTACACTGAGATCACCCACAGTGATGGCATTACATCTGATCACTGTTACACTGAGATCACCCACAGTGATGGCATTACATCTGATCACTTTCGCTCTGAGGGTGTCACCCACAGTGACGGCATTACATCCGATCACTGTTACATTGAGGGTATCACTCTAAGTCACAGCATTATGTCTGATTACTGTTACACTGAGGGTATCACCCATGGTCACAGCATTACATCTGATCACTGTTACACTGAGATCACCCTCAGTCCAAAACATTATGTCTGATCACTGTTACACTAAGGATCTTTCTTTCTTCTTTTCTCTTCTTTCTTTCTTTCTTTCTTTCTTTCTTTCTTTCTTTCTTTCTTTCTTTCTTCCTTTTTCTTCTTTCTTTTTCTTTCTTTCTTTCTTTTTTCTTTTTCCTTTCTTCTTTCACTCTTTTTCATTGTGTCTCTTTCTTTCTTTTTCTTTCTTCCTTTGTTCTTTCTTTGTTTTTTCTTTCTTGCTTTTTTCTTTTCATTCTCTCATTCTTTCTTTCTTTCTTTCTTTCTCTTTTTTCTTCTTTCTTTCTTTCTTTCTTTGCTTCTTCCTTTCTTTTTTCTTTTTCCTTTCTTTCTCTCTTATTCATTGTGTATCTTTTTTTTTCCTTCTTCCTTCATTCTTTCTTTTTTCTTTCTTGCTTTTTTCTTTTCATTCTCTTTCATTCTCTTTCTTTCTTTCTTTCTTTCTTTCTTTCTTTCTTTCTTTCTTTCTGTGTTTTGTTCTTTCTTTTTTCATTTTCTTTTTTTCCTTCCTTCCTTTCTTTCTGTCATAGCTTTTTTCTTTCATTCTCTCTTTCTTTCTGTCCTTCTTTCTTTGTCTTTTTTCTCTCTTTCTTTCTTTGTCTGTCTTTCTTTCTTTGTTTCTGTAACAGTCTTTTTTGGTGCTATGTAGAACCTTTTACAAAAATGATTTTAAAAAATGATCACTTTAGCATTCAAGCCTAATACAGGGTGATAATATAGAGCACAAGTGTGAACACTGAGACTGCGAGTAGCCGGAATTGGGACAAGATTGAGAACAGAACAAAAAAAAGAAGAAAACCTGAAACTCATTAATCGTTCATTGAACATTATCGTTATCATTCATTATGTGTGAAATATAGTAATACATATTCTTATATCATTGCTGTCCAAAGAAAAACAATTATCTCCAAAATGGAGACTTTACAGGAGAAGGTAAACATGTTCTGTACTTTCAAAGTAAGTTAATGTAAAGAGATTTTATTCCGAGCAATTTTGCACAATGTGTTCAAATGACAGCTCCGATGCTCAAATGATGTAGAAAAGAAGATATTGAAAAGAAATTGTGTTTTTTACCATATTTAATATTTGATAAACTATAACAAACAATACACAGCCTAAATATGATGAATTATTAGTTTATCATAGTCTTAGTCCAGGTTTGCATTGTAACTTGTGGAGGTAAAATTCTTCTCCATCCTTTCTTCTCTAAAACGTCTTCAGAATCACCACCTAAAGTCAGCTAAACATAAAGCAGACATAATACATCCAGTTTTATTATTAAACGATAACATAGTAATAATAACATTGTGATCTGCTCTCAGGGGATGTTTGAATTGTGAAAGCTGTGAACATCAACAAACCAATAATCCCCTGTTAATCCATCATGGAAAGATCAATGAGATCCTCAACCAGCAGAACAGATTTGATTTAAACGTGTTTTATTCAGTTTCAAGGCTGTGATGTTCAGTAATGATTAAACAGTTCAGTTCCTGGTTACCTCAGACGGAGGCATCGGTCAGCTGGTCTCCAGAACAATATCAGAGTCCATCTTACACCGAGACCAAGACAAGACCAGACTTGAGTGCTATAACACTAGTGTGAAGCTGAAGCAGAGACTTTCTATAATTCATTATAATAAAATAAACCTTCATACACGCTCTCTGTCATCATATCACCATATTTATCTTCATAAATTCAATACTTTTTAAAGAGTCCTTCTTCCTGAGGGTGAAATGGGCCTTTTTGCATGCACGCTTGGAAGCTCCAATGGCAGCGCAGCCACAACATCACAGTCCAGGAGCTTCACTGTTCCTTTTGGCCCATTAATCTGTGTATAATCACAGCCTTTCGCCTTATAGGCTTGTTATCATGATGGCATATTGACACACTGTTCAGGCACCGTGAGGGTCAGTCGTAAACCCCGCCGTGCTCCAGTGGGCTCTGCCCTTCTGTAAATTCATGTCTCGTATTGTTTTAATTGCCGTTTCTCTGCTCTGCCCCTAATGACTGTGACGTGTTGTGTTTTCAGGCTGTCTCTTTGAGGATGATCTATGCGAGCCGTATGAAGTTTGTGCCAACGGTGAGTAGATACTGCATGACTCATTTTTTCTTTATGCATAAGTTACCGGCTCAGAACCAGCTCATTAGGCGGGGAAACGGCTGATGGTGGGGAAAAAGCTACTTTAACACCCCCCTCCTCCCTCCCCTAAACCCCCCTGAGACCTAGGAAACTGTCTGAGGAAGTCTGCAGTGAGGTGATAGAGGCTGACTATATTGATCTATATAGTGGCTTTAGGCCCCTATAGTTCACTTGTTCTAGCTGGAAGCTGTTTTCCTAAACTGCCCCTCAAAGGTTTGGGGTGCCCAAAGCTTTTATTATTGCTGTCACAAATCCATGATTTGATGGTAATGATTTGTGTTTACTAAGTTGGCTTACCCTACACTCCTTCATGAGTCTGAACCAGAGATTTACAGGCTCGCAGAGCCTAAATAGGAGTGCTGAACAGCGCTTAATGTGGTTGTCTTTCAACATTTTGTGTATTTTGTATGTTTAGCTGAAAGAAATCACTGAAATAGAGTGGCTTCCTTTAACTGGGCTTTGTAGTGGGCTCTTTACTATGAGTGATTTGATGTGATTTTGCCTTATTTTAGATTTTTAAACATTCTGCTTAGTGAAATTTAACAACAGACATTTTTGAAACATATTTGGTTGTAGTTTGTTCTCTGCCTTATCAAACTTGTAGATTTGGTTGGTTTCGTATGTTTATTTCATGGCAAATTGAGCAGAGAATGTTGAATATTGAGCAAATGTCACAATGTAAAACTAACTTTATCAAACAAACAATGTTTCTTATATACATTATAAACTTAAGAACAATAGCACTCAAGGTTCTGTGTTATCAAGGCCCAGTCCCATTTCTTATTGTTACCCCTACCCCTTGTTTTTGAGTGTCTTCTTGCCCCTTGGAACTGAGTTACAAGGGGACCCTCAAATAAAAAGATCATCACTTCATTAACAGCTACCAGCGCTGCTCTGTAGGCGACCCTGCCAGTCTGCAGTGACAGCAGAGGAGGGTAAAGTTCAGCTCCTCACTGCTGGGCTTTAGTTACATTTAGGGCATCATATGACTTCAAAGAGGGGACAATTATTTATTATTGCCCACCCCTAATTCTTCAGTGATATGAAGCTGAAGTCAGATATTCTCCAGCTTCTTGTTCGAAATTTTCCTGTTCGACCTTAAATGGTGCAGCAGTTACATTCAGGCACTTCAGGCGTCAGAACTGCTGGACTATTTAAGGTGGAATGGGAAAATTAGCTAGATAGCTACCGACACATTAGCGTACTACTAGTGACTTTTGATGCTTGTCTATGAAGAAAATGACCATAATACACTGAAATGACATTAAACTAAGATGATACAATAATTATCGTAATTTTTTAACAGAGAAAATATTTACATTTTTGGGTTTCTTTGGTCTCTTGCACAGCCATCTTACCGGTTTTCCTTTTTTTTCTCATAACACTCTGTTTTGAGTCTGAAAGACTTCCGTTTGGAGGGTCTTGTAGCCCCAACACTTCGCCCTACCCCTCTGTCTCAACAGAAATCAGGACACCCTACCCCTAGTCATGAACACGCAAAATGGAAGGGTAGGACTAAGTGGTGGGGTGAAGGGAGTGAAATAGGATTGGGCCCAAGAGTAACTTCACCGTGATGAACTACTGGACTCGTGCCTGTGACCGAATCACAGCTGTGGTTACTCATGGTAACATGCTCCCTCCAGTGTTCTATTGCTGAAGGTTTACAATATATAAGAATGTTGTTTGCTTGATTATGTAAAAAGTTGCTAATAGGTTTGCACTGAAGTGACTTTGTAAAGGCAGAGTTTGTGTTGTATGGCAACAGAACTGCTATTCAATTGATATCCTATTCATTTCCTATATTTACTGTTGTGTGCAAAAGTTTGGGCACCCCCGGTCAAGTGATGTTTTTGTTTGTTTTCTGAGTGCAAACAAGTAAACACATCAGCTACAGAGACACACTTCTGCACATTTTAATACACACTTACTGTTTATTTACTGAATTTAACATATTGGGAAAAACATAAAATGTGGCATTTGTGCAAAGATTTTGGCACAATTTAATTTTTTTTTTTCCCCCAAACTGTGCATGAAAATTTCCTGAAAAATGCCATGTTTAATTCTGGTCTGTACAGGATGTGTTAACTTATTTTCACTTGATTTGAATTAACTACGCTAAATAATTGCAATTTGTTATTTTATTTGAAAGCCCTCATCATTTTTAATAGTTGCAGTGATTTTTGTGGGTTTTTGTTCCTTTTTTTAAGGATGTATGAATGATGCATGGGTCACTAATTCAAACAGAACTGTTACAAACTGTCCACTGTCTGTGTGTTTTATTTTAAATGTGTGGTTCAGTCAGAGGAGTCACTCTGTTTCTGCCTGTTCACGCTGACCACGCTTCAGCGGCTCTCGAACACTTCATTAATAACGTCTCTGTACGTGTGAGATTTCCCTGCTGAGGTGATTTATACAGAGAGAGCGTAAAACAGTGAGAACAGAGAGGAAAACTTTTAATTAGAGCAGTGCAGTGAGGAGTGGAGAGAGCTCAGGCGGCTGCTTTGAGACTCCACAGCTCCCCTTAAAATTCCTTCATAATGTGGCTATGAACTGGTTAACAGTGCGTCTGTACTGTTTATGACTCAGACTGCAACTCGGTATGTTTAGCAAACATGAAGTGTGACAATACAGAGCTCGAACCCTAATAAAGCTCGTCCCATAGAACCCTAATGAAGCTCGTCCCATAGAACCCTAATGAAGCTCGTCCCATAGAGCCCTAATGAAGCTCGTCCCATAGAACCCTAATGAAGCTCGTCCCATAGAACCATAATTAAGTTTGTCCCATAGAACTCTAATGAAGCCCATCCCATAGAGCCCTAACGAAGCTCATCCTATGGAACCCTAATGAAGCTCGTCTCATGGAACCCTAATGAAGCTCATCCCATAGAACTCTAACAAAACCTGTCCCATAGAACCGTAATTAAGTTTGTCCCATAAAACTCTAATGAAGCCCATCCCATAGAAACCTAACAAATGTGTCCCATAGAACCCCAATGAAGCCCATCCCATAGAACTCAGACGAAGCTCATCACATTGAACCCCAACTAAGCTCTTCCCATAGAACCCTACTGAAGCCCATCTCATAAACTCCTACTGAAGCCCATCTCATAAACTCCTACTGAAGCCCATCTCATAGAGCCCTAATGAAGCTCATCCCATAGAACCCTAATGAAGCTCGTCCCATAGAACCCTAATGAAGCTCGTCCCATAGAGCCCTAATGAAGTTCGTCCCATAGAACCCTAATGAGGCTCGTCCCATAGGACCCTACAGAAAGTCATCCCAGTGAACCCTACTGAAACTTATCCCATAGAACCTTACCGAATGTCATGGGATAGAACACTACTGAAACACATCCTATAGAACCCTACTGAAGTAAAAGAGAAAAAAACTACACAGAGAGAGGGAAAAGAAATAAAAATAAAAAGAAAATAAACAGAGAAAAGAGAGAAAAAGATATAAATAAAATAAAATAGAGAGATGAAGATAGAAGAGATCAAAAATGGAAAAAGAACCAAAATACAGGAACGTAAAAAGACAAAAGAGAAAGAAAAGAAAACAAATAGAAAGAGATAAAAAAGAAAGAAAGAACAGAAAATAGAAAAAGCGATAAAAAGACAAAGCGAGAAAAAAGAGAGAGAGAGAGAATAGAAAGAGAGAAAAGGATAAAAAGAGAAAGAGCTGAAAAGATAGAGAAAGAAAAGAGAAAATAGAGGAGCAAAAGAGATGAAGAGAGAAAAAATAGACAGAGGAAAAGAGACAAAAAGAGAGGAGAAAATAGAGATAGGAAAGGAGAAAGGTAGAAGAAAGAGAAAAGAAAGGAATAAAGAGAAGAAAAAATAGAGAAAAGAGAAAAGCAAAACAGATATAAAGAGAACAGACAGAGAGAGATAAAGAGATAATAAAGAAAGAGAGAAAGAAAAGAGAGAGAGACGACCTGAACAGGCATTCTAGAGGAGTGAATTCCTCTGTATTCTCTCCCCTCTTTTCATTCTTCCCTCCCTCCGTTCTTCCCTCTCTCAGTTCTTCCCTCATTCCATCCTTCCCTTTCTCTATTCTTCCCTCTCTCCATTCTTCTCTCCCTCTGTTCTTCCCTCTCTCCATTATTCTCTCTCTCTGTTCCTTCCTCTCCGTTCTTCTCTCTCTGTTCTTCCCTCTCTCTGTTACTCCCTCCCTACATTCTTCCCTCTCTCCGTTCTTCCCTCTCTCCGTTTATCCCTCGCTTTGTTCTTCCCTCTCTCCATTTATCCCTCCCTTTGTTCTTCCCTCTCTCCGTTTATCCCTCCCTTTGTTCTTCCCTCTCTCTGTGCTGCTCTTTATCAGTCGTGCTGAGAGTGAATATGAATGGTGGGCTTTCTGCTGTCGCTCCGGTGGGCTCACTGCCAGTGGAAGGCTTTGTCTTGTGAACAGATGAATAAATTTAACTAAGCAGTGCTGAAGAAATGTGTGAGATTAGTTGGTAATTGTTACATCCATCCATCCATCCAGCCATCCTTTCATCCCTCCATCCACCCCTCCGTCATAGTGGTGTTTATTGTAATGAATATCTGCGTAAAGGTGTGTCAGCTTGATTATAACTGTTAGCCGGTGTTTACTCCTCAGACTCAGCTTCAGCAGATCAGCCTCTGTTCTACCGCAGTGAGGTGAGGACCCAGAGCTAGGACAGGAGAGTGGACAGAACGGTCTCTAATGGACTTAAATGGACTTCAATACCTCTGACCTACTCTAGTGGCCAGGAGTGTTCTGCTGTTAAAGAGCTTCACCAATGAAATGACAAGAAAACGTAACAAAACCACAGTCTAGCATCGTGTCAGGCGCTCTTTGACTGTTTAAGAGTGCAGACAGCAGGAGTGCATTTTCACTTTCAGCATAAACAGAACAAATCAGTCCAGCTGTTCGCTACGTCAGGTCTGTAAGACTTTAGCATAGAGTAGCAGCTCGC